TCCATACGCGTATGTTCTCTGACAATCAGAAAACACGTGTCTGAAGTCATCATTCCAGTTCCCAGGGGCCTTCTCTTTTGTGGAACCTGTCACCACTGTCAAGAGTGTGAAGTGAACAAAAGGCATTGTCTGTAACTTTCCAAATCTACCTGCTGCTGTAATTGATAGAGAACTCCTTGACTAAAACCTGTTCACTATAGAAAGGCATGCCTAAAAAGACATTGTTTTCTTTACTTCCTTCACACCTAAGGGTACCAAAATTCCATTCTTTAATATCACAGGGACCGAGATGGCTAAATTAGTGTGCCTTGCCCAATTCACGAATTCTCTGAAATTTTCAAGTGAAATCTTGGAGCTCTGAAGCATCTTCTAAATACTCTGTATATAACACATGTAACATATTTCCCTACAGTAGTCCATGTAATGTCATGTAAGGTTGCTGAAGCATTCTGATGTGTTAGAAATGACCATCAAAATAGCATTCTTTACCACTAAATGGCACAAAGTCATGAGTATGCTGCCCAGATCAAGGTAGTAAGCATGTGTCTTGTGCCAAACAGATCTAAATTGAGTCTTACCTGTGCACTTCTTGGCTCCGTGACTCAAAAGAGCTTCATTGGAGAGTACCATCATCAAAGCTTAGGCTCTCAGATTTGGGGAAAAATTGAGTCATTAGTCACATGTCCCATACAATGCTGGATTGACCCATCCCTCTGGTCAATGAATTATGTTTGGGGGCCACCCACCAAGGTGAGAATATATCCAGTGACATGAATTTCCCAGCTCCGTCATCCTAACTGCTCAAATATCAGAATCAAAAAACTTGGAGAATGAAAGCAATCAATAGTCACCCAATAGTGATCAATCCTCTCCCCTTACCTCAAGACTTTAGGCTTCTGTTTTGGGTGAACATTCAGATCATGTGAAACAGAAGTGTTTTAGTGAATTGCTATGGGTGTATGCTACTATGTATTCTGAAAATCACAGAAAAGATTGCCTCTCTTCTTTTGTAGGCTGGTGAGGCACCAGGGCAGACTGTCTTTGGCCACTTTCCAAGTTCTCGAGTAAAGAAATCCAATCTGCATGTCCATGAGTCTTTGGACCATAGCCGTAGGCTCAGGGTTTACAGCTCTATGCGCCTATGTAATGGGTTCCTGGTGAAGATATTAAATAATTAGACTCTGGAAAGGATTTGAAGCTGGAATAATGAAACATGATAACCCAAGGGGGAAAGTAATAAGAAGTTGAAAAGATTTGACTGTAACAAATTGCAGGATCAAATGAATGCTTCCAGAATCAGGCCTCTTGATGGTAGAGAATCTGCTTATGCCTCAGATGATTGCTTTAGCTGAGTCATTAGCAGCATTTTGGCTTGTAACCAAAGAGTTTTCTATCCAAGTCACAATCCATTTCCAAACTTCTTCTCCAACCACTCATTAGAATGACATTGTCCGCTCTAAAGTTTCCACTGTCAAGAAGGTGAAAGCACACCTCAGACTTTGGAAAACAGAGGTAACATAAAATTGCCACCAATGAAAAGATTCTATCCACAGGACAGAATTGTCTTTACATTGTTTGACATTCGCTGTGTCTGTCATGAAGACAAACAAATGAACTTGTCTAAAGTCTTTGAGGCCTTGCCACCATCTTCTTCTGAGGGAAGCAAAGCAGAGTGGGGCTTTATCTAGATTCTCTTTCTCATATTGTTCTGAGCACATTTTTCATTAGTAACTATGGGGAAAATCATGTTTAATTTGATTTTTTTTTAATTTCCTTAATGTTTATTTGACACTAAACTTGACACATTCCTGTTCAAAAGCTCCAGACCCAAGGATTACCTTTGGAATAAAGACAAAATATTTACCTTGACATAATGGCTCTTTAACCATTTCCCAGAATTCTCTCCTATGCCTGTACATTATTTGGAAGTTTGAATTATTCACTTCATTGCCGCCCAACTGTTTCAACCCCAAACACTTTTTTTCTTTCTATACTGACTTAGGTGAAGATTTACAGAGCAGATCCGCTTTCTATTCAATGATTCCTATACATTTTGCTTCGTGTCTTTGACTACAATCCCCAGAATGAAACATCTCTTATTCTACTTCCTTCTTGTCTGTTCTTTTTCCATTCTCCTTTCCTTGCCATTTTGAACTTTGTTCTTGGCCAAAGGCCACCTTTTTTATCTAAAATGGTCGATTGATCTAAGGTGTACATCCCTCCCCATGTTATTACCCACCGTAAAGACCTATTCTTTGGCTGAAAAATGAGGTATGGGAGTAAGTTCATTTCTAAACATTCGGGTGGATAAGGGTTATAGTCTCTGGATTCCACCAGTCAATCTGGTCTTTTTTGTGATTTTGAGTTTTGTTTCCATAAATCCGTGATACTCATCTTTCTTCTTTCTTCCAGACAACACACTCTGACTTTGGGTGTACCTTGGCCTACAATAGCCTTTCTTTCCACTCATGGCTGATTGCTAAAATTTGAATCTTTTTGAAGCTCAGCAAAAGAGTTCCTTCTCCCCAAAGCCCCTGTATTGTCGCTCTTCAGTTTTTCTTTGCTTTTAAAGATATTTTCCTACTAAATAGTAATCTCCTACAGGTGAGGGTGGTCACAGTTATAGGTGATTCTCATTATTCACATACTCCATATTTTTTCATTTGTGTGCTCACTAAAATCTACCCATGACCCCAGAATCAATACTGGCATCCCTTTCCTGGCCATTTGCAGACATGCTCAGAACAGTTAAGCTTAAAAGTTGCTTCCTGGGCATGTTTCCAACGAGGTTGAACACTGCGCCACTCTGCCTTCCTGTATAGCTCTCAGACTGTAACAAGTGTCCTTTGTGCCACCTACTTGGCACCACATTTTTGTGCTTTTCGGTGGTGATTTGGCTGGTTCCTAGATAGAGGCTTAGTGTTGCCTCGTGGTCCTAAGTACAAAAAGGTTGTGAAGACCTTTCAGAGAAAATATATGTCAGATAGTTTCATTCGTGCAGAAATTAGAGTGGTGGGGGTGATGAGTTTCATGTTAATGAATCAATAATACAGTACAGCAAGAAACGGGAAATTCATTCATCTGTAAGTAAGGTCACTCTGGAAAGAGCCGAAATAACTCTGGTGACGCTATGGGAAAGTGGCTACATCTGTGAGCTCATGAAATGATAGTCAATTTAAAGAAATGTGTAATGGGCAACCCTATTGGAAGGCAGAACACCAAATAAACTTAGCATCCTATTTCCAAAGGTCAGGAAAATGGCAACCCCTCTTGGCTAGTGTTTCATTTTCAAGAAACGCTGCATATCCTTCATTGTTTATGAAAACTAACAATAAAAAACCATCATATCAAACAATGAAGATGACTGTACACATGTACTAAGTAGAAGGAAAAATGATACAGGCACTTGTAGCATGACCGTTATCCCATCCCTCTCACCAAAAAAGGGCATCATGCTCAGTAAAGAAGAAGACTGGTGACATGTAGCAAGCCCCACAGTGAGATGGCTCGACACAGGGGCTGCTGCATTGGGCTCTAATATAACAACAATTTGGAGGCAGGTGCAGGACCAGGCAGTGTTGTGTTCTGTAGTATGTGGGTTTGTTATGAGTCAGAACTGACTTGATGGCGCCTGGCAGCGACATCCCTCCCACAAACATATAATCCTAGAGGTCCTTGGCGTTTCCAGATGATGTTGATATTGTCAGTTGCTGCTTCATCAGCCCTTTATGCATGGCAGAAACGCTGCCTTGTCCTGCATCATCCCCATGATCAATTGTGAATGAAACCAAAGTGATCCGTAGGCTCTTCACCGGCTGATTTTTGGAATGAGATGATCAGGCCTTTCCTCTGATTAGTATTAGTCTGGGAGCTCTGCTAAAACATGTTCGGTGTCATGGCAGCATCCTTGGACAGAGGGATGGTAACTGCACAGGGCATGCATTGGCCAGTCATTGAAGCCAGGTCTCCCGCATGGAAAGCAAGTACTCTACCACTGGTCCACCGCTCCTCCCTCCCATTTCATAAATGCACTTGTGGGAAGTCATTCACTAACTCTTTATACTTGCCATGTGAACTTGGCAGGTGTACTCAGATGCTCTTGAGAAGTTTGAAGGAGAACAGGGAACATTTGGCCAGGAGAAGACACAGTAAATGAGAAGTAGAGAATGACCATGGATGGTAGTCATTAATTGTTCCACCTACAGCCAGCTACGCTGCAGCATGAGACGCAGAAGGTAGTGGTTAGCAGTTTCCCTCTGGTGACCACGTTTAGACACATTGAAAGTTCCTTAGGGAGATCTGCGTAGCATACATAGCAGTTAGGAAGGCAGAGATTCAACTTGCTTCATTGCCAGACACTAATTACGTGATCTTGAGACAGTCTTAAAACTCTTTTGCATCTTAGTTTTATCCTACTATCTTATGACTACACCCTCACACCTGTTGTGAAGATTACATTGTTAGGTGCCATTGAGTGGGTTCCGACTCATAGCGACTGACTCTAAGTACAACAGAACCAAAACTGCCTGCTCATGAGCCCTCCTCACAATTGTTGTCGTGTTACAACACATTTCACAAGGGCTGGCAGAGTGTAAACCTTTAATAAAGGCAGTTATTCACGTGAAATTGCCTTCTTGTGAATTATTTTCTGACTAATTGTCGACAAACTGTTGTTATTGTAAAGGGAAGGACTTTAAAGACCCTAACATTAGAATAGACATGGAAGGGTATGATGGGACATAAGTTGTAATATTGTCTACCTTTGCTTTATAGGCACCATGGAAATATGCACTAAAGAAGGCAAGACACATTATCAGGAATTCCCAGAATCTGGTAAGCAATCGCCAGGTGGGATGGCAGCGTTTTCCTTGGGCCGCTCACCTCTAACTGGCCCTGTTCTCACAGTCCAAAGGTTGAAGGCCATGGCAGATGGAAAGCCTCGGCCCAGCTCAGTGACAATCATATTGAAATCATCGCGTGAGATCCTTCTCTCTCTTTCTCCTCCTCCCTTTTCTCCCATAGCAGAATTTCTCAACCTGAGCATGACTGACATTGGAGGCAGGCTAATTCTTTGGGAAGAAGGCCTTTCTGTGCAGATATAGCATCCCCTTATCTCCACCCACCATTGGTCTCAACAATCAAAAAATGTCTTTTGACGCTACCCAGGGTCCCAAGGAGACACACCACCCTAGTTGAGAACCATGGCTTTCCAGTGACAATGTTGTGGCAGTGTCACACTTTTCTCCCTGCTTCCTAGAAATTCAATCATAATAAAAGGTGTTCAACCTCCCCGAGCTTCAGTTCTCTGACTCCCCTTGTGCACAGTACTGAGGTGAAGAACATGTCAAGATCATGGAGACAGAACACCTGGGATCATGCCTAGGATATACCAAATGCTCAGTACACATTCATTACAACCGCAATTGTGAAAGGATTTGGAAGAGGATATCAAAAAGTGTTGCCCAACTTAAAGATTGTAATCACAACCTTTGAATTGCCCATGTAGGTATTGTGTCACTGTTCTTTGCTTTGTTATGTACATTTTCACTACCATAAGGAAAAAGAAAACAAAAGCACCATTTTTAGTCCTCTCCCCTCCTTTGCCCTTTCTGTAATGTTGGTTTCATTCAACAGATGTTTAGTTCACATAAATTATCACAGTCTAATATTTACTTAGGCCCCACTGCAAATCAGTCCCAATAGAAAATAAATAGAGAAAGTGGACTTTTAAAGACTAGCACCACTCCCAATGGATGTCCCAGACTCTGGCAGGAAGAAAATGTTCAGCCTAGTGGAGAGGGTGCAGACCCTGTCCTTGGCTTCTCCCTGCTGGCCTGCCCCATCACTCATCCTGATGCAATGCATGGACAGGCATATTGAGTTAGAAACATGGAAACAGAAAGGATAAAAATCCGTCATTGCTAAGATTATCTGATCTAGCCAATAGAAATATAAGCTGCCCAGTTACAATTGAATTTCAGGTAAGCAATGGTTAATTTTTTTCAGTATACCTATGTCTGGTGCAAGATTTTATCTGGTGATCCTATTTATAGGGTACATAGAAATGTTAATCTACAAGCCGATACATGTTGACTGGTCTTATAGTGGGCATTTATAAATGATCAAAAAATAGATCACAGTGCCTGCATTGCCAATAATTATTTAATCTGGTAAATAAAGGTTAGCAAGAGCCCATTCAGCTAAATTGCTTACGTCATTGAACAAGAAGCAAAAATGCCACGTGAACCCTTGACCTCCACCTGCAGAGCTTTGAGCAGAAATGAAAAAGAACACAAGTTCTCTTTTTTTCTCCTCTACATGAGTCTGAAAACCTATTTTTAGGGTATTGTTTACTTCACGGGCACTAACTGTCTTTGCACTAGCTCAAAGGCTAATTAGGATTTGAAGATATATTTGTACTTCTATCACTAGCCTCTCAAGCTTGATGCATGAGCCAGGATTCCAATAATTCCCTGAGAGAACAAGAACAAGAAGAAGAAGAAAACTACTTACCCAACAATTCAATAATGATAACTAACATATTAAAACTCATCAAAACCCTTCCCCACTATATTTACACAGATAGAGCAAAGCTATCAAAGAAAAAATAACCAAAAAGTGCCCATCACTGTCTCGGGGACAGGCTCAGAGAAGACTGCCTGCAATTAGCGCCATTGTGATGGCTGAGGGAATGGCAGCCCTGTTAGAATTCACAAAGAAATCCTTTGTTCTCCTCCTCAGGAATCAAATTGATTCCGGCTCATTGAGACCCCACACATGTCAGAGCAGGACTGTGTGCCATAGGCTTCTCAATGACTGTCGGTTGTTTATTACACAGATTGCCAGACCTTTCTTCCAAGATGCCCCTGGCTGACTCAAACCTCCATGTTAACTGTGTATACCACCCAGGTTCCAAGAAGCATACACATTAGGTTGCATATTTTTTCAATATATCCTGCCAGATATTGTGAATCCAAACTGGGGGAAGTTGCACACATCAAAGGAATTCAAATGTTCGAGACGAGTTGGGTCTCCTTGAGATTCCCTCCATGAGATTCTTACAAAGCGCTGAACATCTAAAGGTTTAGAATAGCTGAGTTACAGGATCATCTCATCTAATTCTCACAAGAATCCCTACAAAATAGAGGCAGTATTTTTGTTCTCAAGGCTACATAATTTGCCCATTCCCACAACTAGCCAGTAAGGAATGTATCCGTTAGATTCAGGTCTGGCTGTTTTCATGCTTCATACCCTTTTCACCGTTAAGAACGCCCATCCAGACATCCTCGGGGCTAGCTTTCAGGGAGCACCTATTCCTGGCATAGACTGCCTGGGTATTGGAATCACACAGTAGATCTACACAACTGCACATGACAGCCCAGGTCTCACACCTACCTGCCCAGTAGAGTTATCTGGGAAATTTTAGGAATTGCTCATGTTCAAGCCCCACCTCAGACCAATTAAATCCAGATAATATGAATACAGTATCCCCAAGTGGTGCCAAGGGTTAATACTGCTAACCCAAAAGTTGAAAGGTTAAGTCTACCCAAGATGCTTTTCTAATCTGCTTCCCAATAAGAAGCGACTGAGACCTACAGAGCACAGTTGTACTCTGATGCGAGAGGGTCATCAGGAGTTGGTGCTGACTTGACAGCAGTTGGTTTGCTTGCTTGCTTTCAATACTGACTCGCACCAGGCCGAAATTCATATTCAGGTTAGCTGTGCACAGGGGAGTGGCTACCCTTCCGTTTACCCCATTCACCTCATGTTGTCATTCCAGTCCTGTTTTCTGCTCCGTATTCATTTAGCATGCTGCCGTGCGCAGACACTCAGAGCTGGTAACTAGATTGCAAACTGAGATGCTGCCTGACTGCTGTCCCCAGAGAGGGTCAGATTCGAGACTTTCATTTGAGATGGATTCAGTACAGGCAGATGCACTATTTTAAATCTATTGCTCAGTTAACAACAGCCCGCAACACGGCTGTTTGCAAAGCTCAAATGGAAAGGCGAGGGCGCTGAGGCACACCGTGCAAGGACGTCTGCGATGTGGCTGCCTTCATCTCGGTGCTCGTTTGCATGCACATTGTTAGAAGAGCGTGGTCTTTCTGGTATTGCATGGTGGAGAGATTAGAAAACCAAAATTTCACTCCAAGTGGGAGATGTTCGGAGGCTGGGGAAAGAGTCTGAGGCCACCTGCATCAGCCAGGACCCATCTCCTGGCCTCAAGTTCTGCCTGATGCCTGTCAAAGAAAGCTCCAGCCGTCCAGCTGAACGTTGACCGTGAACAGCTGTGCTGTCATAACATTGTACCTTGTTGCCCCTCTTGTGTAATCCTTATAAGGCTGGCCAGATACATTGCTGTCATTATCAGTGCTCAAATCGACTTTGCCATTAAGGCTAATGATGCTAAGACCTTCAGGCTGAAGGTAATACTTCATTTAAGTATCTCAAACCGTTAAATGCAACCCCGGACTACTGTTTTGAGCCTCAGAAGGTGTCTATATTTCCAAACGACTGCCAGTGCGATGGTGTCATTATGTGCTGGTGTTTGTTTTAAACGTGTGTCTAGAGTGCCCAGTCTCCGTCAGTTCCAGTGTCCCTAAAATCAACTTTCTACACCCTTCCTCCTTTGCACCATTCACCCCTAACTGACCTCGCCAAACATCACTGCCACCTAGCCTATTCCAACTCTTAGTAACCCACTAAGCAGGAGTAGAACTATCCCCATAGGTTTCCAAGGCTGTCGATCGTTCTCCCACTGGGTGGCTGGTGGGTTCATACTGCTAAGCTTACAGTTGGCAGACCGTGGCATGACCCCCTAGGCCAGTAGAGCTCCCATGTATTTTACCCCCTGGGGACATTGGACAGTGTCTGAAAACGTAGCTGGTGGGTAAAAGTCAAGGATACTGTCAGGGTCCTCTATTACATGGGGGAGCCCCACAACCAAGACTTCAAAAGAGCTTGTCATTGAGTTGATAGTCTGACTCATGGCATGGACCCCAGAGTAAAACTGTACCGCACTTCAAAGAGTTTTCAACGTCAACAACTTCGGGAAGAAAATCACCAGGTCTTTCTTCTGAGATGCCTCTGAGTGGGTCCAAACCATCAGCCTTTCAGATGGCAGTCTCCTAGCAGATACTTATTCCAGCCTCAAATGGCAGTAACCCTGGGCCTCCGTGCCTCTGCTCGCTCGGGCATCTCTCTGCCCCATCTCACTGCTCCGGGCCACTCTCGCCCCCAGAGACACCTTGCTGAAATACCCATGCAGGTCCACTCTGCACACATAGCAGCGTTCTCTGCTGGTGGTACGGCTCCTTCCTTCCAGGGGTCTCTGCCTTCTCCTGTTCTCTAGGTGTAGCCAGGCCTGGTGGCTTGGAGTCCCCTAGGACGCCGAGCCGCACACTCCCTCTCCCTGGAGCCATGATTCTTGAGCCTGGGGAGCTTGTTAACATGCAGATTCAGATTTTTTTTCCCTTATTATTCTCTCTTTTTTTAAATCATTCTAGCGGGGTGTCGTGCGACTCCCATCACAATCCATACCCACGTCCACTGCATCAAGCACACTTGTACATTCGTTGCCATCATCATTCTCAAAACATTTGCCTCCCACCTGAGCCCTTAACATCAGCTCCTCACTTTTCCCCCTCCCTCCCCACTCCCTCTCCCTTATGAACCCTTCATAATTCATAAATTATTATTATTTTGTCATATTCGGATTTAGTAGGGACTAGGACTCTTCGTTTCTAACAAGCTCCCAGGTGGCATCCACGCTCCTACTTTATATGTCCCACTGTGAGTGACCAGCACTGTGGTTTATAACCTTAGTAGGGTGGTTCGAAAACCTTCATGGGGACACCAGTGTTTGATTCCGTAGATCTGGGAAGGGACCCAAGGATTTGTGTTTCCCACAAGTACCTGGATTGCACTTTAAGGAGAAAAGTCTCAGAGTATCTTTCCCATCCTTCCCTCCTGGCTTCCTCCTACTTGGCTTCTGGGCCATCACCTGCATCATCACCAGCACCCTTGCCTATTCCTGCACAACTGTAGACATCACTGGGTTTGCTCGGAGCTGAAGTGCCCATAGATCCCCCACGAGACTGTAAGCTCTGAGGAGCAACTCTTCCTTCTCCTCGCTTTGCAATCTAGATGGGAAAATTATTCTGAATTCTTCTTCTAATCCTGGAAAGCTGAACAAGCATCAGTCACCAAGGTCCTTAAATGCCTCACTTATAGTCTGAAAAGGCAACTGCGTCCCTTTGCCAGGGTCAAAACGTTGCCAACATGTATAATATACGGATCCCTTTGGCTGGCAGCCGTCAAGTGTACCTTTCCCTTCATCAGCAGAAGCTGGTTCCTAATGTTTCCTACCCTATTGTCTTCTCTTTCTTTCATTCAAAGACAGCCTCATGGCAAGCACCACCTTCTGAAAGCCCCATTGAGGAGAAAAGCCAGGTCATCTTTCCTCAAACATCTTGAGTTTGAGGGGACCCGCTCCCTAAAATAGCTTTGCTCCTAACACTTGCGGCATTTCTTGGCACGTCTCCTCTAAATTCCCCCGCAGAAAGGGCCTTCCCTCTTCCCAAAGCCTGATGTGTCTCTTCCTTTAGTCTTTAGTTCATCCCACAATAGGAGGGACTCATTGTACTTGAAAGTATTGTTTATTTCCAAAGCTTTGGGGAAGAATGAGGGAGAGTCGTGTTGTTGGCACTGTGGAATGGACTAAGCTGGACCAGGCCCATTTAGGAAGAGATGGGAAATGAGCAAGGCCTGAAGGTGAGAAGAGCCGCCTGGATGAAGAGAATGAGGAGGGAGGAAACTTTCACAGGAACAAAGGCAGGAGGGATGAATATGGAATTTGGGGAAAGAACTAGAAGTAAATTGAGAAAAATAACAGGAGATCAGATTCTGGAAGACCAAGGCCCAGAAATATAGACTAGCTTGCCAACAGAAGAGAAAGGACTCCTAAAATTTGGGGAACAATTCCTTGAATGAAATGCTTTTATTTATTTCTCTCTCTATCTCTCTCTTTTCAGAAATATCCTAGAAGTTATTCTGATGTTTGTTCACTTCCGTTTTTGACCAAGATCTGTCAAGAAATTAAATCGTATGTATGCTATTTCTACTTTCATGAGTTAATTGTGGGATAATAGCTTTGATAGTTACTGTCTTCTAATAACCCAAATGATCTTACGATTTAAAAGGCATCTCCTGAAGGTAAAAGTGTTTCTTGCTCAGAATATAACGTGTACAGAAAACTAGAAGATCAATGATCTCTGCGCAAACCACTTTGGAAATATATTTCAATATCGGTATCTTTGAATCTCAAAAGTTTGATTTGTGTACCAAGCAAAAGGCTATGAATTATCCCTAGCAAGCTCCAAACGTTCTTTTTGAGCCAACCTGGAAATAGCTCTACCTTTTCATTTCAGACAAGGTCAAAGGCTGGTCAGGACAGAGACCCATTGAGCAACGTTGGTGCAAGCACTCATGAGACTGGAAAGGGTGTGTTTTCACAGAGTCTAGTCTATGTACCTGAAATACCTGGTCAAACGTGAATGATCAGGTTTCCACTACAGAAACACTCCCCGGTCCTCCCACGTCCGTGTGTCTTGGTCGCTAGCTTTACATTGTGTCTGTGGCTCTGCCAAATGTGGTAACACTACGACAATGGACTAGGAGGCAAAATAGCTTCGGTTCCACCTTCCCCTGGGAAATTATACCTGCTGCTCCCTATCAGCTATCTCGTTATCAAACATTTCACATTTATGACAAAAAATTTAAAAAACCTATCTGATTCTTTTAGGCAATTAACAAGGTGGTAGACATGATGGCAAAGGCTGAGAAAGGAGGCTGGCCTCCTCTCTAGCCAAGGTCATGGAGACTGAGCCAGCTGGTACCTGTTCTGGGTTCCCAGATCCCATGTGGCCTGAAGTCCTGCAGCTCAAAATTTCTGTGGTTTGGAAAGGGAGGAAAGAAAGAGGCATCATAGACAGTGTTTGGAAGAAATGCGCTCAAGTGTAATGATGTCTTTGAATGACTAAAACGATCTTCAAAGTAAGCCAAATAGACCGGAAGCCTCCACCTCAGGTGTATCCAGGTGAGGGCCAGGCAACCCCAAGCTTCAGTGGCGTTCCCAGAGGGGAGACCAGGCTGCAGGAGGATGAATGCGGGGCTTGTAGGGGAGAGAATGGAGCCCTGATGGTGGCACCTGGAGGGAGGCTCTGACCCATCCCAGGGGAAAGGAGAAGTGGTAAATCCCTTCCAGCCACCCAGCCACGGTTATTCCAGTTTTGTTTCCTCTGGACCTCCTTCTCTGCAGAGAAGTAGCCCCAAACTGGACTCAACACAGTGACGAGCACAGCAGTACATATTAAAAAAAAAAAAAGATAACCTCACTGCCATCAAGTCAATACTGACTCATAACGACCCCCTGTAGGTTTCCGAGACTGTAACTTGTTTACTGGAGTAGAAAACTCTGTCTTTCTCCCAAAGAGCTGCCGGTGGTTTGGAACTGCTGACCATGAGGTTTGCAGCCCAATGTTTAACCACTACACCACCAGGGCTCTCCATAAATCTTTGCTGTTATTTCTTTTGTTTTTATTTTATTTTATTGGGGGTTCTTATAGCTCTTATCACAATCCATACATATGTCCATTTTGTCAAACACATCTTTACATATGTTGTCATCATCTTTTTCAAAATATTTTCTTTCTACTTGAGCCCCTGGCATCAGCTTCTCATATTCCCCCTCCCTTCCCACCCTCCTCCCTCCTTCCCTCCCCCATCCCCCCTTGGTAATTTAAATTTTTTTCTTTTAAATTTTTTTCTTCATGTTTTACTCCAACTGCTGTCTCATTTCACCCTCTTTTCTGCTGTCCGACCCCCTGGGATTGGGGCCATATGTTGATCATTGTGATCGGTTCCCCCTCGCTCACCCTTCCTTACCCTCCTAGTATCGCTGCTCCCCTTATTGGACCTGAGGGGTTCATCTGCTCTGGATTCCCTGTGTTTCAAGCTCTTATCTGTACCAGTGTACATGTTCTGGTCTGGTCAGATTGGTAAGAAAGAGTTGAGGTCATGGTAGTTGGTGGGGGAGCAAGCATTAAAGAGCTAGAGGAAGGTTATGTGTTTCATCAGTGCTATACTGCACCCGACTGGATCTTCTCTTCCTTGTGGCCATTCCGACAGGGGGGTGTCCAATAGACTACTGATGAGCTTTGGGTCTCCACTCTGCTCTTCTCCTCATTCCCATTGATATGCTTTTTGTTTGTTTTGTTTAGAGTAAAACAATTCAGACATGCAAAAATTCAGGATGATCTGAAAATACAAAGAAAAAGATCCTCCATTTTCAATAATGCTGATTTTCAAATAATGACCTGGTCTTGGGACCTGATCAGGTCCGTTGGTAAGGAATAGGTGGAGTTGCAGCTCAGTCTCCTCTGACTACTGACGACCTCCTGTGGCTCAGAGTTCAAGGGAGCTCCGTGGGTTCCCATGGCTGGCCTTTCACAGTATCTCTCCAGGCCTTTCTTCTCAGGTACCTCTGAGAGCATCGGAACCACAAACGCAGCAGTTCAGCATTTGACTATTTGCACCATCCAGGAACTCCATATTTTCCACTGAGCTATTTCTAATATGATTGCTGCTGCTATGGCAACCAGGTACCATGGAGCTGTGGTACTGTGTGCAAGATGCCAACCTTGTCATTCATCTCCTCACTTAATTCTCACAGCTTCATGAGATTTCCAGTGTCATTATTGTTGACACTGGAAACAAAACAGCTTATTATTTCCAGTGTCATTATTGTTGTTGTTGTTTGGTTGTTTGAGATGAACCTGTTTGTCATTAAAGACCGCAAGTCCACTTCAATCTTACTTTCCCCGCCCCCCCTTTTCTAAACCAATCAAACCACTGTTTAGGTTTTACTGATAAGGAATCCGAAGAGCTTGAAAAATTGTTTTGACTGTTTTTTAAAGAAACATACTATGTATATTTTACACAGTCATCTAAAGAAATGAAATCAACAACAATATCCTGTTAAAACCATCCATTTATTTATTTATTTATTTATTTAGCCTCCCTCCCAGCCCTCCCCTCTCCCTGCCCCTGTCTTGGCTTTTCATTACCATCTTGTTTCTTGACGAATAATCCACATTCTTCTGATAGCAATAGTGATCTCAAATATTGATCTTTGTAAGATGGGCTAGATTTGCTAAGTATAATAATAATGTTATTATTATTTCTAAGTGAATCTTAAAGAAGTAACTTACTCAAGGCCATGAAGGATTCGTGATATACCCCAGTTCTATTTAACTGAAAATATTTTTTAAATTTCCATTGCTATTATATATGTATATATTGATAGAAATAGATATAGATAGACCGACGGAGACATAGATATCACTGCCATGAAGACAATGCTAACTCACAGCGATCCTATAGGACAGGATAGAACTGACCCTGTGAGTTTCTGAAACTGTAAATATTTATGGGAGTTGAAAGCCTAGTTTTTCTCCCTTAGAGCAGCTGGTGATTTTGAACTACTGACCTTGCAGTTAGAAACCCAATTCATAACCACAACACCACCAGGGCTCCTTGCACGCACATGCACACACACGTGTGTGTGTGTGGGGGGGGTCTATATGTATGTGGATACTTATATATCATCGTGATTTGGGTAAACACAGAGAAAATTGGTATTCTATTTAGCAATCCACTCACACGTTGTTTCATGACATTAATCGCCTTCCTCACAAAGTCACCGCACTCTTGAAACTGCCTGCCTGCGTATACTGTGTCCATTTGTTCTTCTTTCCTCTCCCTTCCTACCTTCGGCGCTTATTCTGGAACACATGCTGCTCCCCTTTGATCTCCTGTGTTCGATTCCACATATTCATTGAGAACATTCTTTGTTTAATTTTTATTTTACTTCTCTGCAATGCTGTCTCCTGAATAGACCTTAAGAACTCAAGGCCTCTGACTGCCTCTGTGCTTGAGTTTCCTTAGATCTGAAATGAGGAGAGATAACAATTTATTTCTGGCCACACATTAGAATCTTCTGAGGACGTTTTAAAGGCCTAGTCTCATGGCCAGACCAAGTGAGAGAGCACTATGTTTTCCAGAAAGTTCTCCAGATAATTCGTAGATCATCAGACTCCATGCCTGGACTTTTGATTGTCTCGACTCCCTCAAGCACTGATGTTACTGTTCAGGGCAAAGCAGTGGATGCCACCCGTACAGGTGACGCTTTAATAACTCAAAGCAATGTTCTTTGGCTGTGAGAATTCATTTAGGCCACACCATCTGTGCTGTTCTTTTCATCTTGTACTCTTGCTCTCCTGCAGGCAATTTCAATTACTTTAGCCAGCCTAACTCTCCTTTGGGGGGGGGTTGGGGGGGGGCGTGGAGGTTAGACAGGAGAAGGCTCAGAAGTGGGCCTTCTGGACTGAAAAGGGCCTGGCCTAAGTCACACCATACTTCATTTCATGGGCTTCCAGGAGGTTTGTATCCATCACACTTTCTAGTCTGTTGTGACAATGACAATGGGGAGGATAGAGCCTCTATGCTTTCCTTCCTAATGCTGTGACCCTTTCATACAGTTCATGTTGTGGTGAGCCCCCAACCATAAACTTGTTTTCGTTGATACTTCATAGCTGTAATTTTTCTGCTGTTATGAATTAGATGACGCCTGTGAAGGGGTTATTCGACCCCCAAAGAGGTCGTGACCCACAAGTTGAGAACCACTGCTCTATGGGATCCAAGAGGTTAAAACGTTTTCTGGTTCATCTGCTTGCATCAGGCGCTGCGAGCCAACTATGCCAGATGTTGGCCTGGGTCCCAGAAGCAGTAGCAACACCCTTTTTTCATGAGTGTGGATGGGTGCCAGAGGACATCAGGACCTGGGGAGTGGAGTGGAAACATCATACCGGAAAGGAGACTCTAGGAAGCTAACGAGCAGCCAGCTCCACAGCCCCCCTTTGGTCGTGCTTAACGTCCATTGAATTGGGGTCCTTGTCCCCGTGACAACCCCCACCTTCTCCCTGAAAGCATCATTGGATTTGAAATGTCAGTCATGGGCAAAAAGTGACAAACCCTCCCATTGAA